CTTTACTGGCCTGTGTTGTGCCACGCTTGTTCCTCAGTGCCCTAAGAGTATTTACAGAAATAATTGCCAAAGTCGGAACCCACTTAAAAACTGGCGAGCAAGGCATTCAGGGTGAGAGCTTATTGTGAAGGGAGCAGGGAGTCAGATCGGCAGCCCTGTGAAGCAGCACTACGTACGGATCTTGCTTTCTCAGAGAAAGACGAGGTGTCCGAGACCACCGTGCGTGCAGTGAGCAAGCACAGGAGCACAGGAGTTGATGGGAAGGGTGAAGCGGTGCAAAAGCCCGGTGAATCCTGGAAATGAGGTGCCAGTTGCGGCTGGAAGATTGGTAGGAATGTAGGAGCGGTGAGCTCAGCTTCCAGGGCTTTTGTCGTGCTCAGCAAACTTTTTCTGGGCCGGCGCGGGGCTGTGGAGCGGGCCAGGGCTCGGCAACGCGTGCGTAAGCATTTCGGGAGAGGGGAAATTATGAGGAATTCTGGCAATGCCCGGCTGGAGGTGGGGCAGTGTACAGCTGCGGGGAGGCAAGGGGAAAAGAGCTACGGGGCGAAGCTGGGCTTTTCGGATGGTTTGGCTTTTAGTCACTGCCGGCATAACAAGGCTTGGAGCCTTCTTTGATTCAAGCCGTGACTTGGAGACTTCAGAGGAAATGCTTGCTGTGGGCAGGTAGGAAGGTTCTGATTCAAGTGGGAGAGAAAAATCATTTGTTACCGTAAGAAAAGCCCTTACTTCTTGTTTCTAAGAAGGTGTGAAGCATGGAGGTTGGGAGGATGAGTATTTTGAACGTCGACTGATGCAGCAGTGTGTGTGGATTTGGCACACGAGCAGCTTCAGCGTCAGCCCATTTCCTTACGGCTCTCCCAACCAGCGGTGCTCTGCAAAGATCCCTTCACTTCTCTCCTCACATAGCTAGCACCGTGTTTCAATTTGATGCCTTTTTTTCTTTCTCCATAGAAATCTGTTGCAGTTTTCTGTTTCTTACAGGCAGTTTCTTTTTACTTTTAACAAATTGATCTCCTCTCCCTTTACAGTGGGATTTGGGGCAGGTCCTCTGTGCCCACGGCATGCCGTTCTTGCGGCTTCTTAAAAACACCGTATGCACCCCAAACTCTGGTACTGTAATCTTCAGCATTAATAAGCAAGTGGAAATGCTTCTCTGTGCCTAAAAGATAAGGATTTTTGGCCTTGCAATTCATTTAACTTGCTTCTGAATGGTAGGATTTAGTTATAATATATGGTCTGCAGTAGTTACGTGACAGTGACTAATGCCTGATGACCAGTCTGGCGAGCTGGGGTGGAAAACTGCTGTGCTGTCATGCCCTGACCACTGAAAGTAAAGCGGTTCTGGATGGCCCTTGCTGGTAGCATGCTGTCAATCGGCTTCTTAATGACTCTCTTAAAGAATAAAAGCAAGAGCCTCCTGGAAAGGCTTTTTAGGTCTGTCCTTTCCTTGTTTCATTTACTGTGTCTCTTCCCTGCCCCCAGCTGTATGCCTTGTGCTGTCTCTAGTGTTTTGCTTCCTCCTTCTCCCTCTGCTCTCATACCTTGTCCCTTCTCCACACTTGATTTTCTGCCCCTCCTGACTGCTGCTTTCGAAATACACCACTTATTTTCCAATCCAGACTATTAATCTTTGTCCCACCTACTCATGAGGCATGAAGGTTTTACAGGAGTCCATTAGCTGTTATTTCTATACCTACCCTCGAAAGACTCACGGGGGAGAAAAGAGGTCTAATAGTGGGGCCATCGACCGCTTTTTTTTGCTAATGTTGGCACCAAGCTCTGGTTGTAGGTCCCAGATTTCCTATCTGCCCACCTCCACCCTACAAAAACATCTGAAACCTTGACGCTCCTTGTCCTTCCCCTCAGAGGAGAGGAAATTTTGCTTTAAAATGCCTCTTATCCCAGAGGCTGCTGGCTGCTGCAAGGGCACAAGGGTGGTTGTCCGCAGCCCATCCTGTCCTCCCTGCCTTGCTCATCTCTGGTGTTCCATGGAGTTAATCTCTTCTTTTAGTGTGACTGCTGCTTGCTGGCTCCTGACTGGTGTTAGGAGCAGCGATGGGGCAGCAGAGCCATCCCCGTTGCCTTGGGAAGAAGCGATGCTGCCGTACTCTTTGCGAGGAAGGCTGCCATAGCCATCACGAGGGCGAAACTCTTGATTCTGCAGTGGAGTGTGGCAGGCTGTGCTGGGAGGGTGGGGGTGGCTGGCAGGATGAGCCAGGCTATAAAGGGAGTGTTTTTCTTAGCCCTTATCTCTGCTGTCTTGCACAGGTGCAAATTCATAATGTAAGTGTGCTGTACCATTGTTATTGATTAAAAAAAAAAGCGAGTTTCACCACTGCTCCTTGCTTTTAGTTTCAAAACATGCTTCGAAGGCAAACACTTTCGTTGGGGGGTTGTATATAGACAACGTGTTCTGAGCCTTTGTTTATTTGTGGGTATTTGGGGTGCTACTCCATTTTCTGCCCAGTTCTCCCCTTACTTGCAGGGATTAGTGCTACCTGCGTCTATCTGACCCGGCATACCTATCATCTGTGGGGTTTTTTGGTCTCTTTATACATGCATGCTCACATCTCTTCCTCCTTACAGGCTTGTTTTTCCCTCTTGCTGTTTTCCTTCTGTCTGTCCTGCACTTTGGAAGGTTTCCAGCTGGGCTTGGTGGATAGGCTGTCCACTCTGGCTCTGCAGATCCCACCGCGTGTGCTCCCTGGCCGAGCCCCGGGGAGGCACGGGGGAGAAGCTCGATGCCGGCAGCCTGCAAATGCTGCCTTGTTTATGAGCTGCTCGTTGGTGCAGACTGCAGTCTGGGGGGAGCTGGGAAAGTTTGTCTGGCATAAAGCGCTAAAGCTGACAAAAGATTGTAGGGCTTGGGCTGTAATCGATAAAACACGGGGTATTTAGAAGCGAAGGTCAGAGTCCTTCCTTAGTTCACCCTGTTCTTTAAATATCCCAGCAGTTACTGATGGCTGCTGCAGCGCTTGGACATGGTAAAGAACAACACGGACTTCAGTCCTCGGAGTCTCTGCTTTTACTTATTTGGACACAGATCTTGCTCCCCTCTTCATTGAGGTGTCCGGTTTTGGGGACCCTTTCCTTGTGCAGGGACAAGCACGCGACATCCCTCGTGTAGAGGCATTGCAAAATGGCAACCTACATCTGCCTGTCTGGGAGATATCCGTGCGCCCGGTATGCTGCCGCTCTTGAACTCCTCTGCCTTAATGGGTCAAATTTAGCAATTCAAAATCTGGCGTGTGAGGTAATTAGGAGGGATAATGCCCACTTCTTCCTCTTAACACCCTGATAGAAAAGCATCCAGGAAGGACTCCTGGACCTCAAAGATAAGCTGCCAGCTGCCACAGAGACTATCAAAGGGTGGCTCAAAGTCAAGAGCAAACAGCTGATTTTTTATGGTTCTTGGGTTTTTGCTGTTGGTGACAGGAAGCCATGTTCCCCAAGCTGTTAGCTTCCTGTTTTATTTTTACACCCAGCCCGAGCAGATCAGCATGCCTATCACATGGGAGCTGGCTGCTTCTCTTGGGTTGTTCCTCAGCTGACCTAGAAAAGTGATTCTTTCCCCTTCTAAATTAATCAAGAAGTTGGGATGTATTTGCTTTCACTTAGTCTTAAAGATTTCAGGCATGTGTCGTGCTCCTTGTTCTGAGCTCTGTTTACCCAAGTTTCCTTCTCTCTCTCAGAGGCGGACAATCTGAGAGGGAGCTGTTTGTTGCTTCAACGTTTAGGCCTGTTAGCAAAGGAGATTTTTGTTAGTTCAAGACACTGACCTGCACATAAAAGCATTTTCTGTCTAAAGCATAACTTCCGGACGCTTTATGTTTTATTCTTTTTTTTATTTTATTATTTTTTTTTTAAAAAGAAAGAACTGGAAGTTTGTCCTGACCATTGTACAATCAATCTTGACTTCTTTCTGGGCACGCTCTAGTCTCGCATCCTGATTAGAGCTCCCTCGTCGTTAAACTGCTGTAGCAGCGAAACAATGGTCCAGTGTAAACCTGGGCCCCGGGGGATTTCCCAAGGGAAGAGGGGTGCAGCCTGCAGGATAAGGAACAGTCACCAGAAAGTTTCCTGGTCAGCTGCAAGCGCTTCCTGTTGTTTCAGGAGAACCCTCCAGGAGAGAGGCACCACGCATGCTTTGGTGTGCTGGAAGAAGCTGGTTTGTTGTTTCTTTCTTTTTTTTTTTTTTTAAACATCTCCTGTCTTCATCCTCTTGGTTTAAGCACCCCTATTGATTGCAAGTTTAAAATATTTCTGAAGAAGAGCCTGTAAGATTCGCCAAAGACGCTGTGCGTGAGCGCGGGAGGAAGGAGACTGCTTGGAGGCGGCGGATGGGTAGGAAGGGAACAACGGCTGCGGTAATGCCAGCAGCACCTTGCGTGTGGGCGAAGATGCGTAGTTTTCCATCTCTGCCTCTGTACCTGAGCTGGTGGGGCTTTGCTGTCATCACTGCAAGTCATAGAACAGCAGGATCTTTATTTCTGATGAACCAGTTTTATAAGGGTGGGGAGGGGGGAAAGAGGGCTTATAAATAAAGCCATTTGAGAGCAGGAAAAACGAACACCATGGCTCTGGTGTGCCTGGAATTTGCGGTTGAGTAATCCTTTCCTGTTTCTTTTTTGGGTTGTTTTTCATCTTTCAGAACAGTGCCTGAAGCAGGTCCACCATGCCGTTAGTAACGAGGAACATTGAGCCAAGGCACCTGTGCCGTCAGACGTTGCCTAGCGTTCGAAGCGAGCTGGAATGCATGACCAACATCACCCTGGCAAATGTCATTCGACAGCTGGGCAGCCTGAGTGAGTACCATGGCGAGCCTGCACGTTGCCCTCAGGAGTCGCTAGTGCTCTTTATTTAGCTCCCTTTCTACTCTCGTGTTCCTATTTCTCCCCCATCTGCCTTCCCTGGGTAATGCTAAAATGTTTTCCTAAAGAAATCTGATGCTAATTTCATATCCCTGGTCCCACTGCCTTCCCATCTAAGAGAAAATGGGGAGGGGGGTGTGTGTATGTGTGTGTGCGTGCGTGTGTGAGAGGCTGCAGCGAAACTGCAGATGGAAGGATGGAGCACAACTCAGGCTTGTAAAATGGGAGGCTCTCCGAGCAGCCAGGATCCTGTGTCAGAGAATGTGCCTGTAATTGCACGCGCTACTAAATGGAGCTTGACTGTGTTGAATCTACAGTGTGTCAGTAGTCTTATTTTTAATGAAAGATAATTAAAGCGCACACGCAGAAGCCGCCTGTTTGCCCCTGCTGTTTGTTGCATTGCGAGACCCAAAGTCCCCAGTCTGAGCCAAGTGTTGCCTCTGGAGCATTGGGGGTTTGGGGCTGCTCGCTCAAGTGGCAGCACGAGCTGTAGCCCTGCCTAGCTCAGCTCTCCAGTGGGCTGACCAACAGCCTTGTAAAGGCTGGAGGGAAAACGTGGGCCTACGTGCCATAGGAGAAACGAAGAGTTAATTGTGGTCTCTCCGGGATGACTCCTTAGTCTGTTGAAATGCTCTGGATTCTGATTAGCTACCTCTGCCCTTGAAGCAAGGCTTTGATAATCAAATTAATATATTGTTTAGCTTCTCCATGGTGTCCGCAAGCACTTCTGCTTGCTCTGCAAAGCAAGCCCCTTGTCTTCTGCCATAGTGTGAATGTGGCAGGGAAAGTTTGGGTGCAGTCTCTTTCCAGCAGTGAAAACCATGGCTGTCACTAAAATCTGGGCCTGTGTTTGCTGCCAGTCAGTATCGCATTCTGTTGGGTTGGAGAAATGTCACTGCACAGGCAAGACCAGTCTCCCTGCTTGCGTTCAACTGGCCCTTGCTGTTCATTTGTTAGGTCTCGTAGCCAAGATGGTTGTGGAGTGCGGGTAAAATCCATCTCGTGCATGTGAAATGACGAGGAAGAAGGCAGTAAAGCTGTGCAAATCTCAGCTGCAGAGAAAGCTAATCCCAGTCCAAAGGCATGCAGTGGGTTAGTGTGACAGATCCTTCAGGTTTAGACCTTCTTTGCGCAGCTCAGATATTCAGAGCTTCTCTACTTCTGCCTCGTCAGAGAAGGTGAAGCGCTGGAAGCCAAATTGCAGCCCGGTTTCTTTATTGGGAAGGTACCCTGGGAGCCTCGCTCGGCGATGTGGGGAGGGAGGTGCGTGCTGCTGGACCAATCGCAGATACCTCGAGGAGAGCACTGGAGGGAAAACTCGGGAGAGGTGGCTCTTGCTGACACTTGCGTGCTTGCCTGCGTAAGAGGGGAGTGAGGCAGGTGGGGAGGAGATGCTGAGCATCGGGTCTTACCTGCTTCCCTAGGGTCAGCAGTGTTGTAAATGAAGCAATATTTAGACTAACTGCTACAGAATGCTCATACCCAAATGACCAAACTCCCGCCCC